CACAATGCTATCAAGGAAAATTTCAAAAATAGGCTGAGTGTTTGTGGTTCAAGTTATCTGGGAGTTAGTATCAATGACTGTGTTTTTAATTCTGCAAAGTTGGCCTTGAACTTGCTTAATAACAACAAGAAAGACGTGGTCGTCACTGGATTAGAAAGAGTTGACGTAAAGATAGAATAGAGCCTTGATTTTTCTATATACAGTATATATAATTTAAGTGACGGCCGCACATTCAGCACATGGTCATCTACTGACAGAAATCTACGTATTTTTCTTATTTAGATTTGCCGAAAAAAAAAATAAAATTAATTATTTTCAATGACTACGCGTTTATCTTTCTTTTATTTACAGTATATTATTTCTATTTTCATTTGAAGCTTTGAATCTTTAAACACCACTGTTACCATTGTATGTATCATATGAATATTGTAGGTTTCTGTAAATCAAATAATACAACATCATAATTATAACATGCTATATTTTTAAATAAGACATCCTAATCAAGTCAAACAAGATAACAATTAGGTTTCTTGATTTTTTAAAAGTTGAAATTCTTTTAAAAAAACATATTCATAAATGGGTAATTCTTTTCGAAGGCGGACAGGGATTTTTCGGTCACTATAATTGTGATCCTAAAGTTTTACATTGTGTGTGTATTGTTTAAAAGTAGGGACCGAAAAAATCATATCTAGCATTTTTGATGCCTTCAAAAATAATTACCCAAATATGTATGTACAATATCTACAATACGTGTATGCATAATATCTACAATTTCCTATTTACGTGATGAAATTTTTTGAATGTAGTATATTACGTATTTACAAAAGTATTATTTTTTTTATAGAAAATGAATAAAGCAGGCAGGGATGTTTAAAAAAAGATTTTATTAATAAAATACTGTATTAAGACATTTTTGTACCAATTCACGTATCAAAAAAAAAATCCCCTTTAATAATTTTGATAATACAGTATACAATACACTAAACACGGGCTTATTAAGATTGTCTTATACGGAATACGCTATTACCATTTTGAAATTTTGCATTATCCAATATAAGGTTTTAGCTTAGAATATAGTGCCTGCAAGTTGCATCGCATTTCATGCATACATGCTATTCAATCACTCTTTGTTATCAACTCTTGACACCATTCAACGTGATTAATTAGTCATCCAATCTATGCGATGCTACATTATCCAATTTTATTCGAGAAATACATGTTCTTTGATAACGGGACAAGCATTTACAGTATACAGTATATAGATAGTATTTTTATTTGTTATTTGCAAAGATATGATATACAGCAATTCGATTGAAATTGGATGAACAACGCGTTCCTTCAACCTGGCCTGGATACATTGACCTTTTATTATATTGTTAGAATTCATTATCAAAATGAGAAAAACTATCGTTTCATTAAAATCGTGACGTGTCAATAATATCTAATAACTGACTAACGACACGTAAATGCAATGATTGAATAGTCGAACGAATTTACATTGAGATTGTTTTTTTTTTGTTTTTTTTTTTGTTTTATTTATCCTCCATTAGTAATTGAGCCAGCAATGAAAGAAATCTCCAGCTATTATTATGATTATTGATATTATTATTATTATTATTGACCCGTCTATAAGACTGAATTTACTTGTTACACGCTGAATGCATCTATTTGACACGGAAATTGACGCAATCATCTTGAGAGCCACGTTGGGCAACAGGCATGATCAAAGGTTGGTGGGTGAATGATGAGGTCATAGTGCACATACGATAGATACCTCTCGGCAGGCCGGGTTGGGCCTTGGTTCCGACTACTTGACTTAAAACGCCAGAGCCGTCAGCGGGATCGTTCAAACCCTTGAAGAAAGCGAATACAGTGGGATCGGGGACATCATTTCGTCCTTCTAATGCCTGGATGACAATGTGACTGTGTCCGAAGATGCATCCATTATTATCAAGTTGTTGGGGCAGATCATAATAATCCGTTAGAGGATCGGAAAAGAATCCTGTGTTTAGATGGATACTCTTAACTCTTGCAGTGAAATTTTTGTTAACATGCAATACTTCTCCATTTCTAGGAAAGAGAATTCGAGTAGAGACCATATGGGCAACCGACGGAATTTCGCCAAAGTTCTGACTAGAACAAAAACCTTCTTTAATCTGCGTACCATCGGCGGCTTTTAGACCATGTTTATTTTTTTTACAAATACCAGATGGTGATGGAGTCTTGAAAGAATTGGGCGCGCCGATTGTAGCCTCACTTAATTCAAAGATTAAGGTAGCGGCGAGAATGAGAATAATACCAAGACTGAATTTCATGTTAATAATTGGATTTTCGAAATTACCGAAAATGAAAGGATAGGTGATAGAAGGATGTCAGCAGTATTGCTGGAAGGGAAAGGATAGGTGATAGAAGGCTATCGGTGGTATCTTTTATGAAGAGATAAATTCGTAAGGGCTTCTTATATAACGATCAAGAGCAGATCGAGTCGGTCAATTTTGTACAAATAATTAGTATGAAAAATAATAAGAATTGTAATTTTGATTTACCTTGTGACAAAAAAAGTATTTTGTATTGTAGTGTGTTTATTTGTTATATATTTCAGAATACGATAAAGTGTATATATACGTGATACATATGAATCATAAACTTATAGGATCAATTGAAAAAATTTATGCAAAGATACTTCCTTTGGTTTTACTAATGACAACGATACGTATATTTTGAATCCAATCGCATATACCCTTTTTCGGGATGCTTGTTTGAGTAGCCAATAAATAACTTGAACACTAAGGGAACGATATGTAAATTATGATTTTCTTTAACATCCTACATTCATATTACACGAATCAATTTCCCAAAGGGTTTTTTATTCTTTTTCTTTGACTAGTTTAAATTATTCTCATACCCAATTTGGGTTTCTAAAGGTGTCATTCATCCATCCATGGATGGACCGTTGATGAAGTAGTTTACTTGGTGAATTAGCTTCATGATATTTTTAAACATTAGCGGCCATGCGATAGTACAACGGGGAATAAATCTTCATGACGAAATGATAATAATAATAACGCGTAGGTTTATCTTTTAATTCAAAATAATTGATTTTCTCATTACTAATAAATTTCTATATACCGGAAAGAGAATAACGTAATGTTCGAAGTGCACGGAATCAGACATTTTTGTACTAACGGTCCGAATTGTAAATTCTAAAAAGGCACACTTCAATGTTTCCACGTGCATTAAATTGATGACAACATGGAATTTCTAAAGTCACTTCTAGGATTCACGAAATACATCTGAAACATATCATGACGTACTAGTCATACATTTGCAGACACCAGAAGGAGAATCAGTACGAAAAAGCTTGAAACAAAACATTGCATATGATTCACACGATCTACATTGTCTCCACGTTATTCAATTTCTTTATAGAGTAGTAATTAGAGATGTTTAACCGGTTTTAAATTTTCGATTCAGATTCCCGACTACATAAATTGCAGTTTAACCGGTTCCAATATAATCCCACCGCCATATTCCAAGTTTATTTTACTGTTAGCTAACTCAAAATTATAATTAAAATACTGTATTAATGATCCCTCCAAGAAACAATTTTGCCTAAATACAAAATAGGGAGTTTTTTTTTGGTAAAATTTTGTGTATAAAATTTTGACAAACGAATACGAATTTCTTTAATAATCATTCAAAAATATAATAAGAATAAATTAATAATAATTCAAAACACCAGCAAACCTGATACATCCAAAGGCTCCTCTTCTTCTGCCCACCAAGATCTAACCATCACCGACTTACCAACCACAGTAACAGACTTCTATATTCAAAGCAGATACAACTTTTTCAAATATATTTCTAAATTAATAATCAATTATTCTAACTTCCTTTCACAAAATGCTGAGTAGGTATTTATAGCTGCTCAGAGCCACTTAACAAGATGTATTGTTTTAAAATTTATTTTCAGTACTAGTTAAGTGGTTACTGTAGGTAAGCTAGCATTTAACTCATTGTCTTGTTACACATGAGAGATATTATTTCATTCACAATGTATATATACCACTATACAAATTAAATAAAAAGATGATGTTTACCTACAAAAAAAATAAATTAATAAATTAATAATAATTATAATTAAAATAAAATCATTATTTTATCAATTATTATTTTCAAACTTTAAATTTATATATTTATTTTGTAAAATAGTAATATAAATTAAAACCAATATTCAAAATAATATTAATTACAGTAGTGACAAAAAAAAATGACAATTTTCTTTCATTTGTAAAAAATTATATTAAGAAAAAAATTTTATTTTTAAAATTATTATTAATATTAATTAAAAATAAATTTATTGATATTTTAAAATATTAATAATATTTTTTTAATATTAATAAAATTATATATAATTTTATATAATTTTTGATATTATTTTTTATCAAGTTCAAATATTAAGAATAAATTTTTAATCTTGTGTAAAAAAAATATTATATATAGTTATTACATCTTTATTTTTATAATATTTTTTTTTAAAAAAAAATTTTTTTATAAGATAAAAATTATAACTTTATTTAAAAATATTAAATAAATTCTTAATTATATATAAATATTTTAATATAATAAAAAAATTTTAAATATTTAAAATATTAATTAAAAAAATTATAACATTTAATTGATTAATTTGTATTTTTTTAATATTTAAATCAAATCAAAAATTTTTTAAACTATAATATAACTTAAAGTCTTAATTTTTTTTTTAAGATAAAAGATATTAGATATATTATATTTTTTATTAAATTATTTATATTCAATTACATATATATCAAAGATTTATTTAAGTTAACCCATATTCTCCACTTATTTAATCCAACTATATAGTTTTATATTAAAAAAGTAAGTTTACATATTAGATAAAATTGAGTTAAAAAATGAAAATTCTATTATTAGTTTAAATTATCTAATTTGTTAATTCAATTTTATTAAAAAATATATATCTTGTAAAGATTATTAATATAACTGGATATCTTATAAATTTTACTTTAAATCAATAAGAAGATAATATACTTACAAATCTAGTTTAAGATTAAAAAGTCTTGTTATATATATTAGTAATTAATAATTTTCTTTTCATATTATGCCTTATAATTTATGTATCAATAGAATTAATGGTATTA